TGTGTGTGTGTGTGTATCCTGACTCAAAAATTAACACATCAATTACAAATGATATTTCTCCAACATCTTCTTAATATTCTGAGAAAATTATTTACTCCGCTGCTACAAGATACCAAAGGAATATTTTTTATTTCAAATTGCATGGCAGGAGATCTCTACACCTTGCCCACTCTCCAAATTAAAATCTTTTTGGAACAGAATATGTTGCCAAATCATATTCCTTGGATTGGTAACGTTTACTTCTGCTAAACTGTAGGAGCCCATGGATACAAAGCACAGCTGCCACTCTTTGTCACCAAAAGCACAAATGAGTGAACCCAGCTAGTTTGTAAAATGCAAAGGACCTTGTCCTTTCCTGCCAGTTTTTCCACAATACTCTGTCCAAGGTCCTGATTGATCCTACCTTGTCAAATTCTCATGAAGGTTATCTTCAGCCTCATCTGAACTTGTGGAATATGCATCTGCCTTTTTGCTGTTACATTGTCTATGTAACAGATACAGGTTCTTCTGAAAACCCAGAAGAAAAACAAGTCATTTTTGTTGATCATGATGGGAAACCTATTTGAGAGGCTAAGACGCTGAGCTTGTCAATCAAAAATGTCGGCAGTTTGAATCCCTAGCAGCGTGTGAGCTCCCATTACTTGCCCCAACTTCTGCCAACCTAGCAGTTCGAAAGCATGTAAAAGTGCAAGTAGAAAAACAGGGACCATTTGGGTGGGAAGGTAACAGTGTTCTGTGTGCCTTCGGCATTTAGTGATGCCAGCCAGATGACCACAGAGATGTCTTTGGACAGCTCTGGTTCTTCAGCTTTGTAATGGAGATAAGCACCACCCCCTAGAGCTGGAAATGACTAGCACATATGTGCGAGGGGAACCTTTACTTTTTATTAATTGTCTGGTGATTCTTCTTGATTAGAAAAAGCAAGTATTTTTATTTAATCAGATTTTTAAGCAATTTTAAAGAATTGTGCATTAATTTCAATACTGAGAAAGATATCTCCTTCTCAAAAGTAATCTCTTATCTCAAGAATTACTCTCCCCCTTGCCAAATCCTATACTTGGATTGTTCAGAGATATTGTTTGAATATGGAAACATAAACCAGAGATTTTATAGAATTTTAAAAAAAAGATCGAATAAGTACTCAATACATTGTATTAGTATTTTAAAATGAAGATGCATGAAAGATGCAATAATTTCCACAGTGAAAGTGTGGATGGTAAAGGTGATACAATTAGCAAAGATGGTGAAATTGACTGATTTAAATTTAAAAAATTATCTAGCTTTGTTTCTCTTGGAAACAAATAGACTTTTTTTGCTACAAATTAAAAAAAATGAAGCATTTTCATTTGTTTTGATGATTAGAATGATTTTGTAATTATAGAAATGGCTTGGAATATTGTGAAATGTAAACTAAAAGAATGATCTATTATTATGTAATGTACTGCACACAAAATAATTGATGTCTTTATCTTTTCTCTGTTTCCCCATTCCTTTTTTCTATTCTAACTTTTGCTTCTTCTATATTGTTATATTATAATGAAATTCAATAAAATCATATTACCAAAAAAATCTTAGGTGAGTGTATGTTAAATATACAGTGAATTCTTGCGTTATTTATTTATTTATTGCTGATAAAATTATTGTTCTCCTTTATAAGCATAATTTCAAGGTTTCATTAGCATGTTATGATTCATAAGCAAATAATAGCCTTTTCATTCCTTTTCTATAGTGGAAAATAAGAGTTATCTAATTTTTCACCTATGGAGGAGAAATCTACCATGTACACAAAAGCTTTCTGTGCTTTAGCATTAGCTATACCTTTAAACATATGGGCCTAATTTCCTCAGATGTATGTGTGGATAGATTATAAAATCAAACCATTATCTTAAAAAAATAGTGGAATCTCAGTTTTTCTTGTTACTTATTCATATAATCTTAATTATCGAATTGCAGAGGAACGATCATGGGTACCTCCAGGGCTCATGAGTTACCTATCCCTCTAATATAATCTGTGAAGCAATTTTTGATACACAAAGCAGAGAACCTTGAAAATCATATAGACAATAGATGGCTATTTAGAGCAATGCATGTTTGCATGTTCTATAGATGTGATAAAGTAATATTATGATAGCCAAATAAACATGGCTTTCTCTCTATCTCCCATTTCTTTCCAGATCCAGTAAGAGGATAACCTTGTGGATGGCCCTAGAGTAAGCCAGATGGAACAAGATAGAACTAATCATGACGAAGGCAATAGTCTAAATCCTTTTTTAATTCCACATCCTTCTCGTGTTTGCCAAGCAGAGCCTTTGTCAGTAAAGCTGCATAATGGAAACACATCAGTGGGAAAGATCTACAATGAACTGAATGGCAACCCTATGTGGCTGCACAGGAAGGCCAACTATGGAATGAAGCATTCTGCAAAAAGGAATGAGAGTAGTCGAATAAGCCCTGACCTTCTTCAGCAAAAGAAACATTGCAGCAGGTATTTGCAAAATGGTGGGATAAAACGCACTTTTAGTGAGCCTTCTTTGTACGGACTTCACCTGAACAAGAAGCTTAAACAAGATGAAGAAGCAAAGAGACGGCAAGATAGCTCATTCCCCATCAGCAACCAAGCAGGCGCTTCTAATTCATACAGTGAGAAGAATGTTATGGGTTTTGGAACAGAACAAAGTACAGCTTCAGTTCTTATACAGTCTTTAAGATGCAACTCTGGTGCTTCAGAATCTCCTCCAGCTCCCCAGTTTCAGAATGAACAAGGGGATGAAAACAGCAACTGCCACAACGGGGACATTGACATGGCATATAAGAACAAGGCAGCTCCAATGCCTAACGGTGCTATAGTTTCTGCCTCTTCCATGGGAAACGTGCACGGTGAATTCCTGGAAAAAACATTGTCTCAGTATAATCCAGAACATGTTTTCAGTGGAACGCAGACAACTACGTCTTTTACAAGTGCCATAAACACTCGGGCTATTAATGTGTTGACATGTGGCACATCACATTTACTGCATACCTCAGGGCAGATAAGTTCCGCTCAAACCTCAAACTCTGAGCTGCCTCAGGTGCTAGCTTCTGTAGCTACTGAAGTCCACAGTATAGAAAACTCCAGTAAAGGGTCCACTTTACAAGCAAGCTCCAATTTTCATCATCCAGAAGTAATGAGCTCAGAGCAGCAAAAGTCAGAAAATACTTACCAGCCACCTACAAACCACCATGAAGTTTCAGAAAATACAGGGCAGGTCCCCAGTCAGGATTTCTCACTCAATCCTAACAACAATCTGAAGACTCATGATAGTAGCTCAGAGATTTTGTCACAACGAAGAGAAGAAACTGGTGCTTGTTTCCAACAAGATTCCATGTTCAGGAATGATTCTTTTAATCTACCCCCTATTGCACCACCTTCTCCTGAGCAGGAAATAAACAGTGTGCTCTCTGTTGAGGCTTCAGAAGATCCTAGAAATATTTTCAATGTGACGGAAGAAAATAACAGAGGGCAACCACATCATCAGGGAGAACATGCAAAAAAAAATTCTGGCTTTTGCCAACAAACACTCAGTTCTCAACAGGGTCATCAATACAAGATTCAGGTTTCACAAGTAACTGGACGTGAAACAGATGTGGATCTCAGTACAGTGATATTAGGAATAAAGCAGCAAGATCCTAGTGAAATTCAGTCCAAACTGGAGTCTAAAATTCAGGATCCACAAAGATTAAGAACCAGTAAAGAATTGCAACATTTTCCACATCTTCTGAGCCAGATTAATCAGCAGACTACTCTTGATAATGAAAAAGATCTAGTGAAAAATCACTTAAAGCAGTCACAAACCCCCTCACAAGCTTCTTGGATGAGAATGACTTCCCCTCCCTTTCACCCCAGTGATTCTTCCCCAAAATCAAATGAAACACTTTTGAGGACCATGCTTCAACTCCAAGCAAATTCACCTGAGCAGACACATCCAAAACAATATATTCGAGGTTCCAATGAATCAAAAGGAGTCATAGGGCAATCTTGCTACCAGAACATTATACAGGGTGAGCAAATACCAGCACTATTCAAAAGTGAAGGAACACAACCGCCTCATCATTTTACTTTGCAAATCCCATTCCAAAAGCACTCACCACAATCCAAAAAGATAAATGATCAGCAGCAAAATTCAAGGCACTTTAACCTTCAACCACAATCTGAACTCCACCTTGAACAGACTTTGGAGGCACAGTTAAAGCCTCAGCACTTAGATCTTCCATTTGAGGAGGACCAATTCATACATTCACAAATTTTGCCTCCAATGCTCCAGACTCAGCCAATACAACCGCCACAGCATTCACAAGTAACAATGAACTCCACACAACAAATGAAAACCACAAAATTGCCCCAAATCTCTCCCCGGTCAAGCAACAGCCAAGAACAGCAAGGGGAAGGAACATCCTTAAATCGGCTTAAATTAGAAGAGTGCTTTGAAGTAGAAAATAATTACTTCAAATCAGTTGAGTTCCCAGTACAAATTCCCCAGACCAGAGTGGACCATATTTCAAATACAGCCATCAAAAACTCCCATTATAATCAGACAAATAATGTAATGAAGCATTCCTGCTCAAACAACATGCACTTGGTTTCTGAGAAAAAGGAAGATCCTATAAACACAGACCTCTTAACTCAAAATCTATCTCGCAACTTGCAGCACATGCAATATTATCCAAATAGCATAACTCCTAAACAAGATCTGCCCCAGAACTTTCAGGAACAAAACCCTCCATCTCCACCAACTTCATTTCTACAGCTGCCCTTCCAGCAAACACAGGAATATTCTAACATGACTACCAATATGAATAACTCACAAGCTAGTCAGACTCAGCAAAGTTACTCACCCTTCAATCAGCAAGCAGCATCCCATGCAATAGATCAGAGCCACAGCCACTGTCTTCCCTCACAACCTCACAAAGATTTTCAAAAGCATGCTGCTATTAGATGGCATATCTTGAATAAACAAGCTAACCAAAATAAATCTGAGTCATGTCAAGCTATGGGTTTCAAGTCTATCAAAACTGAAGCTGGCTCAAAGGTGAACGCTTGCCTTCCTCCACCGGTTGGACAGTTAGAAAACAAACTATGGAAGAAAGCAATTAAACAAGAGGTTCAGCACTGTGTTTGTGAGAACATGGAGCAAAGGAATATCATTGAAACCATGGAACAGCAGTTGAAACAGTTTCAGGTCAAAACACCCTTTAATCACAAGTCACTTACTATCAAATCACCCAAACATGTCAAAATTGAGGCTGCAGGACCCATTACTATCCTGACAAGGAATTTTAATGGTGCAGATTTCAACAGCCATGCCATCTCTTTAGAACAACAAGTCATTCACTCTAATGAAAAAACACCAACCAAAAAAAATGCTGGAACAGCCCTCAATAATTTCTTAGAATCACCTTCTTCGTTACTAGATACACCTTTAAAAAACTTGCTGGATACACCTATCAAAACTCAGTATGATTTTCCTTCATGTAGCTGTGTAGGTAAGTTTTGATTGCTATTGTTTACAAAATAAATAATATAAATGCTGCCTATTCTTTATGGTTTATTAAGAAAGGGTAGGTTTCCCCAGTTTGGAATTCTTTAGTTATGTTGTTAAGAAACATCATGCTCTAGAACAGAAATTATTATTAAACCTTACAGATATTTTCTTTGTCCTTACCTCTCACCTTGAATGTTTAGATATACAGTATAGACTATAACAAAGTTGTGTGGTATATAACACTTTTAAAGCATACCAATTAATCTTTTCATTTTTTTGTGTGTGTTTTGTTTTAAACAGAACAGATAATTGAAAAAGATGAAGGTCCTTTCTATACTCACCTTGGAGCTGGTCCTAATGTCGCTGCTATTAGAGAAATAATGGAAGAAAGGTAATGAATTAGAAAAGCATGCAGCAGATTAAAATGTATCCACTTTTGCATGTCAGAATTTCTTCCAGTCTGTTCGCATAAATAACACCATCATTGCAAGCCATTATAATTATTGCTAGGTTGTCTATTCTAGCATTACCAATCCTGGTCAGAGTCTGTTCAGTGGAAAGTCACAATATTGGACAGCTCTGTGACTGGCTGTCATAAGTTGCCCACTCCAGGTAGATGCCGGCAAATGCTGACATGAGCAGGCATTCATTGGTCTGCCGAATAAGTTGGGCAGCAGTTGGATAATGAAATCAATGGTCAGTCTTGAATGCATAGCACGGGCACTTTAAGAAATCTGTCTGTTGAATCACAACAAAGTACAAACTCTGGTTTTTCTATTTACTTTGAAGAACTAAATGAAGAGTAAGTAAGTAAGAAATTAGCTTAATCAATTAAGTGCTCATGGATATAAATTTCTAGTGTAACTTGAAGACTCATTAATCAAGAACAAACACACACAAACACATACTTTACATAGTATTCTTTGTTTAAGTAACAATGACAGTGCTTGTTTGGTCTACTACAGCCTTTTCCAATTTGTGCACTCTCTGTATATGATGACTTAGTTGCCAGTTCCCCAGCCAATGTGACCATTCGTAAAATTTCTGGGAGTTGAATTACACATGCCTGAAAAATGGCTAGATTGTATTAAGCTAAAATGAATCCTGGATCCTTGTTGTTTTTCTTGAATATAAATTTTTCTATACTTACCTTCATTTGTCTGATTGAAACATAAACTCGATCTTTAACAAACAAAAATGTAAGTGTTCTTTTTAAAATATAAATATATGTTTAGTAAAAACTCAACACATTTTTATATTACAAATATAAAGCAAAATTAACCTTCCTCATTAAAGTACTTTTGAAACATTTGAGTTGGGTTTGGTTTGGCTTTTTTGATTGGGTTTCGACTTGCTATCTCCTTAAAAATCTGGACCAGGCTGATTAAAATGCTATGGATAGTAAATAACCTGAATACAAGAAAGGATTTTAAGTCATAAAGTTTCCAGTGTTCCTATATGATTGCATTTACATTTATATGAAATTCATGTTCTTATATTTACTTATTTCATGATTTGATTTTTTTAAAGATATGGACAAAAGGGCAAAGCCATCAGAATAGAAAAAATTGTCTACACAGGAAAAGAAGGCAGAAGTGTTCAAGGATGCCCTATAGCTAAATGGGTAGGAATAATCTCCACAACCTTATAAAGGATATTGTTCATCTCTACAGATATAATCAGTTCATGTTGGCAAAAAAAATCTTATTCAGATTTTTTTAAAAAAATCACAGAAGTTAACTGGGAATACATTTTAAATAAAATATGACAAATTAATAACAGTTTTTTATCTTAGAAATTTTATAGAAAATGTATACCAGGATGTAATTATTGTCTTATGTACGTAAGTCCTTTAAAAATCTGTGGACCTGCAATGTTATATCTTTTTAAATTATGCTAGGTTTATTCTATCTTGCCTTTCTTAATCTGTTATTAAAATTTAAAACTCACAGCTCACAGACCTAAAGTTGGGATGAAGTACCACAGTTCATGAACTTTTAATACCACTATTTATCATTCTTACCTTTTAATGTATAATTGGGTAGAAGCTATAATGATGGGCAATTAATCCATGTCCATTGTCTTTTCCAGCTCATAGTAGCTCTTTTAAGTTGTAGGCAGATTCTTATCCTGCTTTGAAAATTTCAAACAAGGAAAGAAACTGCTAGTTGAACCAGAACACTATGGTATGCAAAAGATATGCAGAAATCTGGTTTACCAAAAATTGAACAAAACCATAATATGGCCTGCTAACCTGGAATTCCATAATTTTTACTGGAAAATTATTTTTGGTATGCTTTCAGGTGATTCGTCGAAATGGAACTGAAGAAAAACTTCTTTGTTTAGTGCGAGAACGTGCTGGCCACCACTGTGAAACAGCTGTGATAGTTGTACTTATCTTGGTGTGGGAAGGAATTCCTCAGAGCCTAGCAGACAAGCTGTACTCTGAATTGTCTGACACTTTAATGAAGTACGGCACACTCACAAATCGGCGGTGTGCACTCAATGAAGAGTAAGTTAAGTATATACTTCCTTCCCCTCCAGGAAGTAAAATTTTCCTATAGTTTAAATAAATATGACACAGATCATAATAAACATAGTATCCCCCATTCCAGCATCCAATAAATGTGTTCAAACTGTAACTTCTAATATTCCTGAATAGCATGGCCCAATTGGCAGGCAAGTTACAGATCTGGTATCTCCTTTCACTGTAAAAGCAGGGTAAGTAGGTATATGTAGTGCTCAATTTACAACTGGTCACTTAGTCACTGTTCAGATTTACAACAGACCCTCCAAAATATAATGTATGTACAACCTGGTTCCAAAGTTCCACTGGCCACCTTCCCCCCCCCCCCCCCACTTGCAATCACATGGCTTCAGGACAGGCATTTGGCAACTGGCCCATATTTATAGACATTTTCAGTGTCTCACAGTACATGACCACAATTAACAATGTTTTTGCCAACAACCAATATTTACTTCCAGTTTTCAACAAAAACACTCCATGGCAAACAATGGGTTCGCTTAACAATTGTTGCAAAAAATCCCATAAAATTGGATCAATCACGTGATGAGCATCATGAGTTACAACCAGAGTGGGCAGGTTTCATTAAAATCATAAGTTGAGGATTACCTGTAGCCGTACAAAAGCTGTAATTCTTTTAAAACCATTCAGTGAATAGAAAAGCCATCTTGTTAAAAAAAAAAATCATTTTTCGTCCATTTCATGATCAATCCTATTCTGTTTTATCTCAACAGTGGTGTAATGGATAATACCCATTTTGACTGTGCAATGACCACAGACATGTCCATGGTACATGACAGGAATCTAATGTTATACTTACCACATACACAAAAATACCTCACAGAGTTCTTGTGAGGGGAAAATAGGTGTTATACTGCACTTAGATACTAATCTTACTAGCTCTGTTCTTACTGTTTAGATGAAAAAAGTTAATTGTTCTTTCACAGTGGAAGATCTGTATCTCTGCTGTTTCTTTTTCCTCCATATTTTCTTTAATTATTTTCAGACTTTATATTTTCCCTTATGGAAATGCCTTCAATATATTGCATGTAAACCTACATCTAAATCAACATCCATATATTTTCAGAGGTATATCCTGATTAATGACATAATTTTAATATATTTAAATAGCATTTTTATTCAGATTATCTCTCCATGTATCCTGTAATGAGACACAGTACTTCATGTTCCCATGTTATTTTAGATGATTCTCTGGATCTTTTTTGTACATCTTAGAACTGAAAATCTTGAGGGGAAGGAAGGAATGGATGACATCAACCAATGCCATTTTTAATAGGAATGTCAAATTTGTCTTAGAAGATGTATAAATCATTCATTCATTAGCTCATTTAGATCAGTGGTGGGGAACTATGACTGTTTTATGACTTGTGGACTTCAACTCCCAAAATTCCTGAGCCAGCCATGTTCAACTCAGGAATTCTGGGAGTTGAAGTCCACAAGTCATAAGGAGCCATAGTTCCTCACATCTAATTTAGAGGTATATCTTGCTTTTGCTTCAGGCATTAATAATGCTCTCTCTTCCATTTTCTCCATAACAATAACACTGTACATACATTAAGGCAAAAAGAATGACTGGTGCAGAGTTACCCAGATAGCTTCCATGACTGAGGTGGAGATGAATCTGTGCCTCACCATGCCTAGCACAGCCTGTTTACCACTATACTATACTGGCTCTTACTTCATTTAAAACAGCTACATTTCAATAGTAATCAGAGATAATATATGATAACTATATGATAAAGAAACTGATTTAAATTGGCTATGGTATATTGGCAGTACACTGATAATCCTTGCTAATGTTTTTTTTCCCCTTAGACGTACCTGTGCGTGCCAAGGTCTAGATCCTGACAGTTGTGGTGCTTCTTTTTCTTTTGGTTGCTCATGGAGTATGTATTATAATGGTTGCAAATTTGCCAGAAGCAAGATCCCAAGAAAGTTTAAACTATTAGGCGATGATCCAAAAGAGGTAGGGTTGTCCTTCAATTATTTTTCCTGGAGAGAGAGAGAGAGAGAGAGACAGAAAGAAAGAGATAAGTTACAGTAATGATATTCAGTACAAAAAGACTGGCAATGTCAACAGTCCATTTTTGTTTTATTTAGTCTGGGTATTCGGCTTCAACGCTGCATTTTTGTTGTTTTTATTTGTAAGTTTTAAACACTGCTCTTCTATATAAAGAATTCCAAGAACTGAAACAATACATCAGTTGGATCAGTTTGCTTTAATATGGAGTCATATTTTTTAGAATTCAAATAAACATATTAAAACCCGCTTCCAGTGCAGGTATTTTCAGTTTTTCCATTCCTGACAGATGCCAGTTCATACCTTGCTTAAATACTACTAGTGGATATCCCATTATTTCCCAAGTCAATTTGTCATATTGCTGAACATTTCTTCTAATTTTAAGCCAGAATCTACTTTCCTGCAGTTTTTATTCACTGTTTCTATTGCTTTTTGGGAACAGAGGACAACAGCAGCCTTCATTATCTACACAAAAGTCCTTCAGATATTTGAAAACAGCTATTATTTTGCTCCATGCTCTTCTTGGGAAATAATTTTATGATCTGTTGAATCACATTAACACTAAATGAAATAACCATAAGTGTTTTCAGAATTAAAGCTATTAACTAAAAGTAGTAATTAACTGTTAATGAGTGAAGTTCTTTTAAAAAAAATAGGAAGAAAAGCTAGAATCCAATCTGCAAACTTTGTCAACTCTGATGGCACCCACCTACAAGAAACTGGCACCTGATGCATATAACAACCAGGTGAGTAAAGAAAAAGAGAAATGTTTGATAACAATACTAAGATTCGTTGCATTATTTTACCAATGTATAAGTCTCCCAAGAGTTTAAAAGAAACTACCACACTTAGAAGGTAGAATTCATTTATGAGGCTACATATTTATTATTTTACATTAATACAAAAGAATTAGAAATGGAGAGGTGCAGTGGCCTAGAGGTGGTGCTCTTGCCTCACAATCAGGAGGCTGTGAGTTTGATCCTAGGTAGAGACAGTTATTTCTCTCTCTGGGCACACTGAGAATATATATGCTGAACAAAACTCTGCATTGGTGACAGGAAGGACATCCGGCCATTAAAACACTCTGCTAGCTCCATTCAGTTGCCTAGGCTCCACCCCACAAGGGATTATGGGGTCATTAAATGAAGATGATGAAACAATTAAAAATTAACGATTGAAGATGATGAAACAATTCAAAATCAGAAAAAAAATTGTTTCTGCCTACTATGGTGTCTCTGAAAATACACTATTATGTCAGAGAAGTAAAAAAATTATGTTTCTTTTCAGTTTTTATGATGGAATTCACATTGATGAACCATGGCTTGTTAAAGAAGCACAGTAGCCTGTTGTACCTATAATAAAACCATTATTTTCAAGTCGCAAGGGTTGGGTTTATACCAAAACTAAGTAAATGATTGTCTTAGGCCAAATCTCCCAAATGATAAAAATTTAAAATATTCATACATGCAACCCTATAATTCTATGATTTAGCACCTAGTATCAAATTGACACTGCATGATTGGCTTGCTATCATTGGAACTGGAGAAAGGAACATTGGGTTGGTCTTCCTTGGTGCATAACAATCAAAGTGTGAAGACTTTCCACAGTTCTGAACTGAAGGGAGAATTTGAAACAGAGACTTTTGCAAAGTGGGAAGGGCAAGTAACAGAATATGCATCACCACATTATAATCCAAGCTCTTCTCCTTAATAACATAACAATACTTTGTCATTTTGGCATCACTATGATTAGGAATGGATGAAATATACTATTGCTCTACTTTTGTTTCTGAGGGCACTTCAAATTGAGCCTTTCAGGCATATAAGAACACAGGCTAAGCACATTGTATGTCTCCACAGTTTCTGACAACTTTGATTCTTGCAAATATGTTGAAACTGGATTTTCCAAAAATCCCTGTTTGCAAAGTGGAATTTTTTATTGTGAAATGCTGAGAACAAATAGAGGAATTCCTTCCAATATCTTATCTTATGAATTTTGGGGGAATGTCTATCTGACCATTGTTGGTGGAAAGCATCTGTCATTATGAAAGGGAGAGAAATAAATAGACATACTACAGCCTATTAATCTCCGCTAATAATTTTACACCAATGAGCATCACTAATTTCAAACTATTGTATGGTTCCCAGCTTGGATATAACCCTAAGGTGCAACAACTTCAAAGCTTAAAAAGTCTATTTGCAAGAGCAATTTGGTAACACACAATTGGTGAATTAAATAATATAAATACAAGGGGTCCTTGGTGCTCTCTGAGCTTGCTTGTTTTCTTGCAGGCATTTCATTACCCTAACTAGGTAACAACATCAGTGCTGGTAAGGAGTGCTGTTTGCTGTCAGTTTATATTCTGGTGACTTGTTTGTCTGTGTGGATGGGGGCTGTTTTAGAGATGCTTTGGTTGGGCTGATTACTGATGGCTCTTTGGCAGTTCCTTGATTGGGATATTGCTTATTTAATTGTTGGCCTGAAGTTAACCTTGGAGTTAATCTATATAATTATATTTGTGTCTAGATTGAATATGAACACAGAGCTCCTGAATGCCGTCTGGGTTTAAAAGAAGGTCGTCCATTCTCAGGGGTCACTGCGTGCCTGGATTTTTGTGCTCATGCTCATAGAGACCTGCACAATATGCAGAATGGTAGTACATTGGTAAGTCAGTGGTTCACCAAGCCATTACTCATGCACAACAAACTTCTTACTTTTCATAATCTCTATTTCTGTTAAACTGGCACATGATGGCTACCAAGGAAAATTGTGAAATTTTGCATCATTATGAATGCAAATCCTCTAGGCCAGGGGTGTCAAATTCAAGGTCCGGGAGCCAGATCCGGTCTGTGGGGTGCTTAGATCTGGCCCACAGGGCTCTTCTAGAAACAGCGAAGGACCGGCCCACAGGGTCTCTGCATGTGGCCCTCCCAAGCTCCATTTTCCCTGACAGACGGTTGCAGGAGGGTGTCCCAGCCAAAAACGGAGCTTAGGAGCCCGTTTTCACAGGCAGAGCACTTGGGTCACCACAGGCACCCCCTGACACATGTGCTGGGGTGCTAGCCATGCCCCCCCCCCAAGGTCAAACACAACATTGATGTGGCCTCAATGAAATCAAGTTTGACACCTCTGCTCTAGGCCTTTAGTTTTTTTTTTTTTTTAAAAAAAATGAGATTCTCAAGGTTAATTCTTAAATTCCTTGTTCTTGTTTGCCTTCTTGTTCTTTTTTTTTAGCATAGTGAAATAAAGTAATGCTTGGAAACTTTAAAATATATAGTTTTGATTGCCTTGTGTATTGAACAAACTGTTTTAGAAATGTAAGCCTCAATGTATGCCTTGGAGTCCACAGAAATTTTGCTGTAAAGTTAGTGCATTTTTTTCAGACTTACAAGATTTTTCAGACTTACAAGATAAGCCCTTTGAAAGAAGTTCCATGAGCTCATAAAAGATATGTTCTCTACAGTCATGTGTTCATCCCATTTCTGATACACCCCTTTGGAGATCCAGCCTGAGTAGCAGTTAAGGCATCAGATTTGAAACTGGGAGAATGTGAGTTGTAGTTTCATTTTAGGCACAAAGCCAGATCAGTGATCCTTGGCTAATCACTTTCAGCCTAGAAAGGAGGCAATGGCAAGACACTTCTGAAAAATCTTGTTAAGAAAACTGCAGGAACTTATTTAGGCAATCTCCAAAATACATGCTTGGACGGAAGAAAATAAGAGTCTGTTTTATCTGTTGTCTTTCCTTCTCCTTTCCCCCTCAACGTTGCCACGCTTGATCCTGTTTTGCTAATTCATCATCTCTTTACATCTCATGCCTAGAATTTGTGACTTGCTGTTTGCTGATGATTGCCTCAAGAGACCAATCAAGATCTATTTTCTCAAGAGTTGATTTGTTCTTCTTACCATCTCCAAATCCACAATCCAAAGGATTTTTCTTCCTGTTTCTTCCTATTCATCTTTCAGAGTCATACATTATATTAGACCTATTCTCATCTTTGTTGTCATGCATACAGTCTTATCATTCATAACCATGTCTAAATGTGTAATTGCCTTCCTCCTTAGGATTAATATCCTCTTTACTTCTTCACTGCACTGTACATCTCTATCTATTCTTGAACCCAAGAAAACAAAACTATCTACCATCTTCACTTCTTCACCATCAACTGTAAGTTCACTTAGCATTCTGGTTAACACTATTTTTGCTTTTCCAATATTTAACATTAACTCAGATATTTCACTTTCTACTTTTTGTTTCATAATGGACTCTTCCCCATCTTTCTTACTTGGGCTGATAAAGTGCTATCATCTGTATGTCTCAAGTAGTTTTTATCACCAATTTTTATTCCAGCAGACATAAGACATAAGACATAAGAATTTATTTGTCATTACACTCGCAAGCGGGTGCAACGAAATGAGGTGCTCTTCCACAAGTAAAACTGGACAAACACCACTAAAAAAGAAAAAAAAATTAAACTAAACACAACTAACCATAGAATAATCTCTATACAATTTAAAAATGTAAATACCCCACTACTCTCAGCCATTAGACTCCACAAAAATCTTATGACATATATTCTCATCTTTTTTCTATATTATTCAGCACCTTTTTTTGTCCTAATTTTTTCAGCAATCATCCTTTTATATACATATTTCCTTTTTCTCTTCTACTCTACTCATCTTCTGATATATTAAGTACACATCATACTTTCTTTTCCTAAAGTCATTCTACTTTCACTTTAATTTCATGTCTTCTTTTTCTTCCATACCTATTTGTCCTATTATCTATTCTTGATATTGTCAACATTTGGGTTCATCCCACATTTAGAACTTTTTATCAGTCTTATATCCTTTTCTTACTCAATTTTTAATCATAAACAATAGCCTCAATGACCATTTTAGATTTACATTCATTTCTCTACGTCTTTAAAAGCTCATACTCACCAAATATACACTATTATTTATTTCTGAGTCCCTGAATCACCCATATTTTTTTCTATACTTTCTTATCTTATACTATCCATTTATTCCTCACCAATTTCTTCTGGATTCTATTTATCCAAAATGTTGCATTCCCCCCCCCCCCCCAAAAAACCCCATAATTGATTCTTCCACTACTATCATTTGTTGTCACCAATCTATAGATTCATATTTCCATATACACAACAATCTAGATGAATTATATTTTGAAACAAATTTTGTTCTTTCAATCCTAGTTAAGTCTATGGCTTCCTTTGTCTGCATATATAACTTTGACCCACAAAATCAAACTTTCTTCTTTCAGATCAATTACATTCTCCCTTTTTTCACAGATTTATAGACACGCAATATAACTATGCCAGAGTTATTATTTGTTGGGATAATAGATTCTTCACTGCCATTTGGTCCTTAATTAAAACTTCCACATAACACTTTTAGTTAAATAAAGAATGTGTAGTCAAGGTTATTTTGTCCCAAAGGTGCTTTTTCAGAAGGCAACTGGACTTACTTACTTTTTTCTTTTGAAGAGGTTTTGTTTCTCATCCAAGAAGTTTCTTCAGCTCTGACAGAATAGTGGGCAATTGAAGGATTTATATTCCTTGCAGACAGATGGTCATTTGCATCCCTAGAAGATCATTGAAGCACTTGGAGGTTTATCTGTGTCCTCAGATCACTACCTCAGACAGGTAGTGATCCTGGTTCCTGTAGTCTGCAATTTTTTCCTCTGGAAATCCATGCCCACTCCCACACTATTCAAAGGGTGTTCATCCCAAATTGTATAGCTAAAAAAGTCTGTAGAGATTCTTAGTCATCCAGGTCATGACTGAAAAAGCACCTTTGGGACAGCCATGACCTGGATGACTGAGAATCTCTACAGACTTCAAGGTTATTTTAGTCATATGTATTTCTTGTACACAGTGGCTCAGTGGGTAAGATGCTGAGCTTGTCAATCGAAAGGTTGGCAGTTCAGTGGTTCAAATCCCTAGCACCGCATAACAGAGTGAGCTCCCATTACTTATCCCAGCTTCTGCCAACCTAGCAGTTTGAAAGCATGTAAAAATGCAAGAAGAAAAATAGGGGCCATTTTGGTGGGAAACGCCTTTGGCGTTTAGTCATGCCATCCACATGACCACGGAGATGTCTTCGGACAATGCTGGCTCTTCTGCTTTGAAATGGAGATGAGCACCGCCCCCTAGAGTAGGGAACGACTAGCACATATGTGCGAGGGGACTTTTACCTTTACCTATTTCTTGTACAGCATTCTCTACTAATGGTAATGGATAGAATTAATCAGTTTTGGCCAATACGTGATTAGTACAACTGAAACCCTTTTGTAACCCAAGCCTGCTCATTCCACTACATGCAAACTACAATCTCTAATGTAGGGACTGCTTTATGAGCCAGCATATTATTATATGTATTAGATCAGCATTTAAGACATTTTGTATTTGATACAGATTTTTTAGTGCCTTCTATCGTTGTGTTTGTAGTAAACACAAATTTAATTAAGTATTAATAAGGCCCATTCTGATCCACAAATTTCACATTTCTAAAATATCCAATTAGATATGCTTAAATTCCACTTAGGCAATTCTGCAATATTTCCTCACTTTATGCTTCTTTTGTTATATATTTCATTCTAAAAAGTCATTCTAAAAAAGAGTAACTCAGTACCAGCACTTGAGATAAACAGACTTCCTTGGTATGGCCATGTTGTCATTTCTAAACCTATTCATGAAACTTTATTCTTCCCATTAAGAAATTCTTCTGACGTGACTATTTCATTATACGGTATCCAAATTTTTCTCAAAAGTCATACCGAAGTGGTTTGCAATTTTCTTCTTTCAGCTTTGTTTTAAGTTCCTTCTCTTAGATGGGCTGGCAGAAGAGAGCTGAGAAATCCCTTCATTTGCTAAGGTGAAATTAGTCATTTCCCAAGGCAATGTAAAAGGAATACAATACTGATTTCTTGAGCGTGAGTGCCAATGAAGTTTGGTTACTAGATATATTCCCAAAGTGCTACTTCTAGATTGATCAACAAATCTGAAATACTGCAATCAATCATTCCCTTATTGATTGACATATTTTAACTTTTGTTTTGTATTAACAGAAGTTTAATAGGATTAAACCAAAAAGACAATTCCTTCTTCAGCAATGATTAGCAACCTTGTATGCTGGTGCGAATGTGTATGTGAAGAAGTAAACCTCATGTAAAAAAAATTTTTCAATCTTAACATATGTGGACTTATCAATATTTTATCTTCATTCAAGTATCATATAAAAATAAAGGTGGACACAACTGAACAAAAACATGAAAATTTGACTTTATTATTTATTAAATTTATTATTTGCAATTATTTATTCAACAAAAAGATAATGCCATTTACTTCTGCAGAAGAACTAAGTTGGCTCTAACACCTGATATTTGGAAGAAACAACCCCAAGTTGCAGGTTTTTTTTAATAAATGACAAATTTATGACATCAACTGGGGAAGGGATTTCTGTTTCTCCATGCACAAATGTTCCATTGTGCAATATTTGAGGGACTCCTTGCATGTACATCCCATTTCAAATCACCTCACAGCATATTAATGGAATTTAAATCTGGGCCTTGGCTTGCCCATACCAGAACACTCAATTTCTCTTCTTTTCAGCCATTCCTTGTGGATTTACTCACCAATATTTTCCCAAACCTGTGTCATTAGTTCATGGATTTCATCACTGGAACTTTTATTTCTCAGGAATATTAGGTGCTCCAAACATAAAAAAGATGCCAAAGCCTTCATTTTGTACAAACATACATAATATACAAATAGTAGTGAATACAGGAATAAAGATGTTGACAAAATGGAGTCCATGGTGCTCCTAGGTGGCACTCACTGGCCTCTAAATGTTTTGGGTTTTTTTTTAAAGGAGAAAAGTAATGAAAATGATGGAATGTTCTAGAGCAGGGGTCTCCAACCTTGTCCACTTTAAGACCTGTGGACTTAAACTCTCAGAATTCTGGAAATGTAAGTCCACAAGTCTTAAAGTGGCCAAGGTTGGAGACCCTGTTCTAGAGAACAAATCCCACAAACATTTTTGCATGGTCTAGATTATTTTAAATTGTTATATTTTTAAAGTGTGGTTTTTTTGTTTTTTTTAATGGGTTACTGACTCCTGGGGAAACTATTGAAAAATAGAATATTTGTGGTTAAAAATAATTCATGTTTAATTTAGTTTGACAAGTTGCCTCTCAGGAAAAATTAGCAGTGTGGCTTTAAGGTCATGATCATAATTGTTTGCAGGCCAAGTTCAACCTTGCTTCATTTGTCGGCCCAAATGTGTCTTCCATCATATTATTTTAACAGGTCTGCACACTAACTAGAGAAGACAATCGTGAAATTGGCCAAACACCAGAAGATGAACAATTGCACGTGTTACCCTTGTATAAAATATCCAATGTAGATGAGTTTGGAAGCACAGAAGGTCAGGAAGAAAAAAAGCGAAATGGTAGCATCCAGGTTCTTAGTTCTTTTCGACGAAAAGTAAGGATGCTGGCTGAACCTGTGAAAACCTGTCGGCAAAAAAAGTTGGAAGCCAAGAAAGCAGCAACAGAGAAATTGGTCTCCATGGAGAATGGGTCTAACAAACATGAGAGAGAAAAACCAGTCTCAGCACGTCAAAAGCAGATCAATGCAGAAGCATCAGCTCATGGCAAGCAATTAGCAGGTACATTTTTAGTAGGCATTAGCTATGATTTCAGCTCTGTCACATGAACCATATGGGCTATTTGTACTTTGAACATGAGACATATGGGACAGGATCACATTGAAATAAAATTGTATGAAAATAGCATATGTCTTAGCACAGAGGTCTCCAAACTGGGCAACTTTAAAGACTTGTGGACTTCAACTCCCAGTATTCCTCAGCCAGTAAATCTACGAAAGTAGAAATCCTTCCGGGATATATGTTGGAACTGATACTTTTAAACTTTTAAATGATTCATTTAAATAAGCACTGAGGTAGTCAAGTTTGCTGAACCACTTGAGGTTTTTTAAAAAGTGAGCTGGTTGTTTCTTCCTTACAGCAGGAATTTGATCTCAACAATAATTAGAGAAAGAAATTAGAAGATTTATATCTAAAACAGAAAGGAGATCTATTTACAGGGAAAGCGTATCACCTACATCCTACCAAAAGGAGAATCCATATTTCCTCCATGATTGGAAAACATGGCTGAAAGAGAGAAAGAACTCCTTAGATCAGCAATCATTTTAGGTATAGGATACGTAAAAGACAAAGAAGGGACAGAAAGCAAATTCTTAACTTTCTTTCTGCACCGCATCCCTTCTATATTCAATAAATAGATCATGAGATGCTGAGGAATTAAGCCTTCCAACAAAGTGTCTATAAAGAGCTTAAGAAGGATATCCTTTGGGTGAACAAACACTTGACAAATGTAGTTTAAATGGGTGCCAAATGATGCACATTTGACCAAAACCTTACAGTATATATACTGACAGGGTCCAAACTAATCAAGAAAAAAGATTTTGGTATCAGTCTTGATAGCTGAATGAAGATGTTGACACAATATGTAGCCGCTTTTGGGGGGGAAATTATGCTGGGGATTATCATGAAAATGACTGAAGATAAGACTGACAGCCAACCACATCATACACTTATAAATTTATCATTCATAATTGAAAAAGTATATAATATTTGTGGGGAGATATACAGAAGGGGGCAATCAAAACCATCAAGGTACTCAAAGAACCTTTTTATAAGAAAAGACTAGAATATTTGAAACCCTTTTATTGGGACAAAAGGTTATTGAAAGGGGACATGTCAATATGTATAAATTATATACGGCAGGGATCCCCAACCTTTTCGACGCCGCGGCCCGGTTCCGACATCAGCTGGGCGCCGCGGCCCGGTACCGGCGTCAACTGGGCGCTGCCATCTTTTTATGACGAAACAGCGCTTCCGGTGAGCTTTCTACCCGGAAAAGCTCACCAGAAGCGCTTTTTTACCAAAAAAAAGATGGCGGCGCCCAGCAACCAGCGGCCCGGTAAGGCTTGTTCCGCGGCCCGGTACCGGTCCGCGGACCGGCGGTTGGGGACCCCTGATATACGGCACTGAGAAAGTAGAAAAGGAGTTTTTTTATTTTGGTTTTTTTTAAAATTTTCACAAAACTCAACTAGTATAGCTGAGTGGCATGGGATTTACAATTTAAAAGAATGCTTTTTAGTAGTTAACCATTCAGAATTCATTAGGCATAGTGGTGACTGATCATTGGATGCCTTTTAAAGATAAAAATAGAAATGTTCAATACTTGGAACAAAATGTACAAAGGTGCTTCAGATTTGGTATTTGGTACCTTCAGAAGCTTAAAGGGGTCAAATGTTTACCTGGGCTCTTAGAGCACCAAGTAGTTGTGCAGGCTCCAGAAAACATGTGGCTGAGTTAAAGAAGTAACAAGGGAGTGCAAAAGTTTGATTGCACCTCATTACTACTTCATTATACTTCCTTAGATACTTTCTCTGAGCCTGCTTGACTATAAACCCAAGGAAAGAGAGGTCGTCTTTAAGAAATTGCCAACAGGTACAAGGAGAATACTCATGCCAGATTTGAAGCACCTTTGCTTACATCAGAATTCAAATATTACACAACTCTAGAAGGGCTTTGAATACATATTTCAGATGAGTATCCGTGTTAGTTTTCACACCTGCTTCCAAGCCCTCCTAAGATATCTGGGAAACAAAATAGTAGCAACGTTTTGGCCTTGGCCTAATTCATCAAGGATATTTTTATTTTCAGAGAAGAAAGATGCCTGTAACATTCATATTTGATCTAATTTCCCATATCTTGTATTTGTGGCTTAATTCAATTGTACAATTGTACAAACCTCTTCCATGAAAACTAGAATGGGCAACATCTTTCCATAATTGAATTAATTCTATACAAACGATAAATGTTTTTTTTTCCCTTCTCTTTCTTGTGCACAGATCTTTTGCATCTTTCAGGACCAGCTGTGTCACAACAGCAATTTTACCAACATCCATGCCAGAGTCTCCCTTCTACACCTCAATCAAACCATGGCAATTTATACTCTGCTTCTGATCCTACCAATCTCTATATGAGTCTGTCTAATCCGACTAATTCCTATTCAAACTCTACACATCCTTCCAATCCTTATGGAGGATCCAATCCAATGAATATCTACCAAACATCATCACAACCTGCAGGAACTTATTTGAATTCTTCCAGTCTCATAAATCCCTATTCTATTCATTTAGGTCAAAATAACCAGTACCCTCATTATCCATGCAATGGAAGCTTATCAATAGACAATTGTTCTTATTACAATTCCTATTCTGCTCAGACTCAGCATATGGACTTGTTTAGGTATCAGAGCCAAGATTCTCTGTCTAAACTAAGTCTACCTCCAATACATACATTGTATCAGCATAGGATTGCAAATAATCAGAACTTTGGGCACAGGTACTTGAATTATGGAAGCCAAAATGTGCCAGTAGATGCTTTCAACAAATGCACCTTTAGACCAAATGTTCATCATGTAGGTTCTTTCCCATCTTACTCCCAGCACGAGACTGATAACCCTTTTATAGACATCACCTCCAGGTTGAAATCAAATCTGAATAATCCAGGTGTGGACTTCATGAATAAAAATGGTGATCATCTGTATCCCTCAGCACACCTTTCCCACGACTATCATAGCATGTTCAATGGCTCTTCTCATTCACTCCATCTCCAGAACAAGAATAGTCAGGCAGCTAATGGACTGTCAAACCTCTTTCCAGATTTTAACCATGATAGAACTGCTTCTGAAGTTGGTGCAAATAAAACAGAGGTGCTCAATGCAGAGGACCCTGAGGATATCTGGTCAGACAATGAGCAAAGTTTTCTGGATCCTGAAATAGGTGGTGTTGCAGTAGCTCCATCCCATGGATCGATCCTCATAGAGTGTGCTAAACGTGAACTCCATGCTACAACCCCATTGAAAAATCCTAACAGGAATCACCCTACAAGGATATCGCTTGTCTTCTACCAACACAAAAGTATGAATGAGCCAAAGCATGGTCTGGCTTTGTGGGAGGCAAAAATGGCTGAGAAGGCAAGAGAAAAAGAGGACTGTGAGAAGTATGGTCCAGAGTATGTGCCTCAGAAAGTACATGGCAAAAAAGTAAAACGGGAGCCTGCTGAATTAAATGAGAACCTGGAACCAACATATTTTAGATTTATCAGGTCCCTTGCACAAAGGACGATGTCTCTTACCACAAATTCCACAGTAACCACATCTCCATATGCCTTTACACGGGTTACAGGGCCTTATAACAGATATATATAAAAGTCACTTTTGTTTGTTACCTCATCTTTTTAAAAAGAGTTAGCAATTATTCCTTAGATTAGATAGAGTCACAGCAAGATACAGTATTTTTCTTTTTCACTTGTCATTGAGGAAATCTTCTCCATCCCAGCAAAATAAGTAATTTTACCACTGCATATATTTGGAGAGCTGTCACAAGTAACAATTCGAAACTAAAACCAAAGTATCCTATGCAAAATTAAGAAGACATAACAACCAACTAGGACTGAAATACTGCTATTACTACTGGTAAAAAGAATGACCATAATTTTAAAATTGTACATCTATAACCATTTTGCTCAAGAGCAGATAACACAAGAGAGTGTTTTTGTTTTCTAATGGTGAAAAAACTGCAGTATTTCTTCTGCAGAAAATGGAAGATTCTGCTAGGTGCTCAATTGATGGTATACTGAAATGCTAACTGGAAATGTAGCTTTTTAGCATGGAATTTGGTTTGTTTTTTGTTTTGTTTTCGCTATGATTTTAATATAAATTGATATTAATCAGGATAGCTACATTTATAACAACAGCACTGAATTTATTTTGGCTATTCTAAAACATGGTGCTATATACAAAAATGGTGTCTACTGCAGCATTTAGACAAGTTTTAATGTCTTTTATTAGCACTAGATAGGATAAAAGCAGATCCTGCTCTCTTTAATCCATTAACAAAACCTTTACATTGATGTTGACCATCCAGTTAACCTGATATTTTTGTAAAAATCAGCTACAACTTATTGTTTAAAGCATGGGTGTCCAACCCATAGGCTATGGGTTGGACACACTTATTTTAAAGCATGGAAATCTGGATGAAACAAGGGCAAGATCCAACAAAGCTATCGTATGAGCACTGCAGGCGCAATGTGCCAGTAGCAGCTAGAATAATGAAAGTAGTAAAGGCACCCTTTAAAACTAAGACTACCACTACCTATTCAGCCCAGAAGAATTAATCTTCACACTTCAATGGTTGAATAGTGGAATTGATGGCATCTTTCAGACAAACAAATCTGAACCATAGGCTAGAACTAGGGTATGCATCCATTTTGGTTTATCTACAGGAACAGTTGAAATGTTAGGATGATCATGTGTTTGGCATACCTGTGTATTCAGCATCCCATGTTCTGTAGTATCTATTACAACATGCAACATAAACTTCCTAATTAACTTTGAGAAAAAAAGATTCAGATGACCCAGCAAATCTGGGTATGACCAGGCTTTATTTTGCCTGTTTCTGGTTTAGTTTTATGTGAATTAACGAAAATAAGCACAAGGTGGTTGGAAGAATTTAATTTCTTTTATCTCAGTTCTAGTTTATCTTGTGTAAATATAGGAAACCATAGTTAGATTAAGCCATGATTTGCTAATAACCCAGAATATAGCAAGTATTACTAGCACCAAATAACAATATTCTTTTTCAAGGTTAATTCAGCAAGGACATGAATCAAAGCCTCTTGGTAACTATAACAAAATGATGCTAATGGTTGCTACTTATTTAAAAGGAGACCCTTTTCCCAGTCTGTGCTAACATTTTGAGAAATATTTTCTGGGTGACTTAATATTCCACAGAATTGTAAATCAGAAAAGAAACTGGTCTTCTTTTGTTTGGCTAAAGCTATTGAAGATAATAGTTTTGTCTTGATTATCAGGAAAATGCAAATAAGGCTTTCATGCTGCAGTCCTGAATTCTCTTTCTGCTACTTCTCCCATGTTAAATAAGCTTTGTTGGATCTCACCAGAATTCATCTCATTTGGCAAAGATCTGATTAAGAGCAGCAAACAATAGAAAAATATTTTGTGAATGGTGCTTGAAAAACTCTTTAGGCTGAAAAATATTATCTGGGTGCTAAAACTTTCCAGACATTTACTGTAACATTAAAAGAAACTTATTTGAATAAATGTATTTAGTATATGCAAATTAAATTCATATATTATCCAATATCACTGGGAGTCAGGTAGCATATACGTTTAATAACTTATTGTTAGGATGATTATTAAGAGTAATCTGCACTTAGAATCATAGTAGATTGGTGAAAACTTATTAATTCAAGGATTAATGAAGAACTCAAGAATTATTAAGATAGTACCTAAGGATTATAGATAGTTTCAAGCAAGATGCTTTCTGTAAAATTAAGATATTCAGGTTCAATAAATTCAAAGTTTCCAAATATTCAGTAAATCCTTTAGGTAGGGCTCCAAGGGCTCCAATCATGATCGTTATAACATCAGATTTCTTTTTCCATAAATGTTCAACTTTTACAGGTGTTCAACAAATTGCTATTATTGTTATTTAAATCTTTTGATCTTTGGAGCAAATTTATATAAGATGGAAAGAGGAGAAGGTATTTGTAACTGCATACAGCAGGATAAAGTTTTTAAGCCAATTATAGACACAAACTGAAACCTTTGCTCAAACACTCACTAAAAGAACAGAGAAAGAATAAATCCTTTATTTACTCTGTTCAACCACAGGTAACGGGATAAAAAAAAAATACAAGTTTCGTGTTTTGGTGCTCGTCTCAAACAGGTATATTGTGAATATTAATTTTAACTATTTTAATGAGAAGCTCTTTCCTGAAATAGTACACATTTTAATTTTTTAATATATATATAAGTCACAGACAAAAACATGTTAAACTTGACCATTTTGTTATAATGTTGAGCTACTTTTTAAGGATCATAGCATTCTACAGATGATGGTTACTGCTTTATTTAATCATGGTTTATTTATGTTATGGTCTATGGCACTGCTCAGTGTAATGTAGCCATATTTTTAAGGAAAAGTTGAGAAGAGTCAACACAAAGAAATACAGGGTTGTACTGGAAGAAGTTAGGGGCTTGGGGAGAATAAAGTAGAGGCAGCTGGCTTGCTGTGATGGTTTTTAATTTGGTAGTTTGTATAAAAGTGTAAGCAAAACAGATGTATAGTAACTTGTAAACAATTTTAAAGCAATGTTTTAGTATTTTAATAATGTACAAATATATAAATATATATTATATATCTATATATATATATCTATATATGGATTTGGAATTGAATTCACATCATGGTGCTACTTGGCCTCTTCTCTAAAAAAGTGTGCTAAAACTATGTTCAAATTATGTTTGAATGATGTTCCTACTTGCCATATACCTCAACTTTACTTGGCAGTAGGATTTTAAATGGAGATTATATAAGATATCATGTTCTCCTGATTTTCTGCTTGGCTAATATTTGGGGAAAAGAAATTCTCACTACTTGATAGCAAGTGTAACTTGAATTTTAACACATAGTTTTGTTCTAAAAAATCAGGGATATATCCTCTTACAATTTCCTTAGTAAGCCAATGTATCATCTGTGTATGTGTATGTAAAATTTTATTGTACAGATTGATAAATATTATTGTTAACCCTTTTTTAAAATTCTACTTTATTTTTGAGAATCTCAGCTGTTTTTTAATTCTGCTTCTAACTTTTACTTGTAAATGTATTGATGGCAAATTTTGCGGAGTAAATCCATTTCTTCTCTTTTATGACAATGGAAATGCATTTTTAATATTATAAACTCTGTTTGAGGTTTCTTATTTTACATCCTCCCCCTTTGTATGTTACATATAAAATAAACCATAGATTGCACTGAGCTGACAAGAAGACAAAGTAGGTATTTGGCAGCTGGCCATTTGCAAGAAGGTTGTGCCTTTTCCAAATTCTATAAATATGTTTTCAACTGTGATTGCTGTTTTATTTCATGGACTTTCAAGACAGAGTTTTTAAAAACAGAGAGATTCATGGAGAAAAGACTGCAAGAAAAAAATACCAGTCATGACAACTGTAGATTACCTTTAGAGTTGGAGGCAGCATATCTCTGAATATTAGTTGTTGAAACACAACATTTGGGGAAGAAATATAGTATTTGTATTCTGTATGCAATATTTTGCATCCGGTTGGCTACTGTGAGAAAAGCATGCAGGACTTGTTAACTTTTAGTCTAGCCCAATAGGTCTTACATTAGACATAGGCATTTATAAAGTATGGCAGTGCAATATATATACATACATAAGAATGTATATAAAGACCCTGATTCTGAAACAAGTTACTCATATTTTTTTCACTCACTGTCTGGGCTGCAGAAATTAAAAATGATCACTACATGGCAGCAAGAAATTTTCTGCCTGTCCTTGTTTCCATCCAGTGAATTATTTTGTCCCATCATTTTGTCATCCAGACTTTTGAAACCAAGTTACTGTATGCCTAAGGGAACTCGGTGCCCTTTGGATATTGCTGAACTTCCACCTAAAGCAGTTGTAGATCAGCAAAATCTGGAGACATTCTTCATCCTTGTTTTACACAATTTCCCAATGATATCAGTGGAATCATCAAGTTGCATAAAGAGTAACCTTTGTAGGACCAATGCCTTCTCTTTGTTTTTTCTTTAATTGAGTTTATCTAATTATAATTCTTAATTAAGTAGGTCATGATCTGTGCAATGCTACAACTACACGAGTCTACTGCTCTCACTTTAAATAGATGAGCTTAATTATATCTTACGCAGTCACCCCAAACTGAAGCTCTGAGGTACATGTAGATGCCTTGGTATGGGCAAGGGCTGTTACATTTTGAAATACTGTCCATGAGGAAACCTTCTTCCTTTGTTGAATACATCAGAATTCTCTCTTTGCTGTTGTATAAATGAATAAGCGTTCTTGGATTGGAAGACTTGTCTATCAAGTTAATTGAACTTTAGCTATTCTTTACATGGGTCTACCTGACTTAAAACAATGTTGATTAAAATACAAACCCAAACAATACAGGTAGTCCTTACTTACCAACTGTTTTGTTTAGCAATCATTCAAAACTTCAATGGTTGGTAAACATCCTCCCATTCACAGCCATTGAAGCATCCATGTGATCGCTGTTCAGGTACTTCAAAACCAGCATGCATTTATGACTGTTGTAACATCCCAGTCTCATGATTCTCATTTGCGAGCCTCAAATTGATTTCCACCATTGCATTTACAGAGAATGTGGAAATGAAATTGCCAAATCATGATGTCTTGCTTAACAACTGCAATGATTCACTTGGTTCTAAGTTGACATGGCAACATGGTGCTTAGTGACCGCAACGCTTAGACAGAGTTGCCAGTCCCAATTGTCATTGGTAAGCAAGGACACACCTCTGTATGATAGGCAGCTTAGCAATTTTTCTTACTTTGTGCAAAACAATTTACATACTATTGTCATTGGTAGATTCCACATAATTTCACTTTCATCATAAGTGGAAGCACATTGTTTAATTTAGTATCATTTTTTTAGATGCAGTGGTCAACTCCAAGTATAGTGCAACCTTTGTGTGCCCTTTCTATATCTACAAGGCAGGGCATCTTTGTGTCTTCCCTTGCCAAATTGCTTACAAATGGAAGACAATTTCATTGAAGATGAGATGTCAGGATGAGGAGGAGAAATGCATCCTGTGAATGAAAATTGTGATACTAATGAAATCTTGCATAAGAGTGAGACAGAAAGACAAAGCAAATACAACATAGCTTGTATAGGATTATCAGGTTGATTATAGCCATACTTGAAATGTTTCTGAGTGGTGTCAACTCTACTTGAATGATTGCTTTCTTCAACTTGAGTAATGTGCAGCAGCATTAAAGTTCACTATTAAACATAGTGACTATCTTTTATAGAGAAACTCCAACGGTTTGACACTAAGATTATTGACTTTTTTATGTGTGCATTTCTAAGTTTATGTTCTGCTGTTTGGGTATTTGTTTGTTTACTCTCATTTTTTTTAAAAAATTATTTTGTCCATTAAAAACCTAAGAATGGTTATAAATATTGTAAGTATTGTAATGAATGCAGGTTATTTGAAAAGCTGTTTTATTATATCATTCCTGATAATGCTGAAATGTGGGTGTTTTTAATAAAATTTATATTTATTTAATGCACTCTGTCTTGTGAGAGCATGCTTGCCAGATTCAATCCTTCTCTACTTTCATTTATTCAGTAATTAGAATCAAGCTTTTAAAAAGTGGTTGAGCCAAGGATCCGAAGGCTGAATGAGAATGGTAACTGTTTAATGACATCTGCTTGGGAAAAGTAGCACTGCTTTAAATATGTGGTTACATGTAGATCTATTCACAAAACTGCAATAAATGAAAATTTTAAATTATTTTTTCTGATGGAAACATCAGAGAATTAGTGAAGAGTACCTATGTGACTGGTGAGAATTTAGAAGATGGGACAATCACTTTTTAATAGTGACCAAAGTGGACTTTAAGAAAAAAAAATTAGCATAGAAATGAAGTGTGAAATATGCAACATGAATGACTTCAGTAATAATAGACACAAGTCCTGTATGAAAAGTGTAGGTAGGTAGGTAGACAGGATAAATAGAAAAGAGACAAAAATAGAGATTGTGGAAGCTTTTTGGAACAGCAGGAAAATAATTATACAGTGCAACAACAGTTTGTGGAGTTACACTAGTGCAAAGTATGAAAAATCAAGCTCACAACAATGACTATTACAAAAAATGAGAATGAGATAAAGATGCTGTATAATCAACAGTCAGAATATTGTGCAAAGAAAATAAGGAGCAAGGAATTGTTTAGGTAAAAAGAGAAAGGAAAATTCAGAACAATTTTGATGGAAATAAAATACTGTTTTCAAAGCTGAAGGGGGAGAGGGGGCGATCAAATAGGAACCTTCCAGCAAAGTAAATGAGGTTAAAAATGAAGTAACTTGAGGTGAAATTGAAATAGCAATAGCACTTAGATTTAAATACTGCTTTCCAGCCCTCTCTAAGAGGTTTACAGAGCCAGCCTATTTCCCCAACAATCTGGATCCTCATTTTACCCGCCATGGAAGGCTGAGTCAACCTTGAGCCTGATAAGATTCATTCTGCCACATTGCAGGCAGCCAGCAGGCAGCAGAAATAGCCTGCAGTACTGCACTCTAACCACTGTGCCCCCGTGGCTCTGAAGAAACACTGAAAATATGTTATAGATTTTTATGGGGAAGTAAGAGTTATGCCATCTTAGTCTGATTTATGGAAATGATAATGCTATAATCAAACAGTCAAATGCCACCCAAGATACTACATTTAAAGTTTTTATGTTATAAATGCTAGGACAATGCTAAAAGTGGCAGTGCTCTCTAGAGAAATACAAAAGTACAGTTTGCCCATGATGGGGGTCCCTAACCCCTGGTCTGTGGACGAGCACTAAGCCACAACACGCTAAAAACTGGGCTGCGCAAACAAGTAAAGCCCCGTTGATGTGATGTAGGCAGCATGCAAAACCACGCCCCCTCTGGGCCGTGAAAAAAACCTCTCTCCACAGAACCGGTCCCTGGTGCCCGAAAGGTTGGGGGCTGCTGGTCTATGAAGTGGCTGTATTATTTAATATGTGTACTGAGAATATATACCTGATGATTAGAATAACCATCTACTCCTTCCTTTATACAATGGGAAAATTGACAAAAATGAATGCAGAAACTACTGGGAGTTTAATAGTGTGTCTGGGAAGGCATTTGGCAGAACTCTGAACAAAACAATACAGGAAATAACAATGAACCAAATCTAGGAAAAGTAGTGAAGTTGTATGTTTGATAAGAAGGCTTTTCTTCTCACATTTATTGATTTAGAGAAGCACATGGTAAAGTGAACATGTTTCATGAAATTGCAGAGTTGCAGGTTGGTTGTTGAATACAATAAAAGAGGTATGCGACTGAAATGCAACATGCATCATAACTAATGGGATAACCCAAATGCAGGGTTGGGCTGCTGGGGATTCGCAGGGGTTCGGGAGAACCCCTAGCTAAGATTCTGTGCAGTTTGGAGAACCCCCAAATCCCACTCTCGGCTGGCCCTGCCCACCCTGCCCCTCCCAGAAGTCCCCACACAGCCCGTTTTGGATGCAGGTAAGTGTAGGGCATGCTTCCTAAAAGCTTGGGAAGGCTGAAATGGGCCCATTTCCAGCTTCTAGAGAGACTCTGGAGCCCGGGGAGGCTGTTTTTGCCTTTCCGGAGGCTCAAAAAAAGCCTCGAGCCTAGGGAGGGCAAAAACAGCCCCCCACCATAGTGCCCCCCCCAACTAGGCCACCCTCCCCCCAGCAACTGGGCAGAGAACTTGCTAAAATGTTTGAAGCCTACCACTGTCCAGATGTGGTTACTCTTGTTATTGGTGTCCCACAATAAGAGGCACCCCGGTGCTAGGCTTACCAGCATTCTATTCTCATTATGAAATGCTTCCAAAAGTTCAGAAGTACAAGGAACCAGAAACACAATTGGCACCATGGAGTAGAGTTCCTCAAATTGGACTCCCTCCAGGTAAGTGTATATCAGTTTTGGAATTCCCAAATTCATGGCCATTTTAGGGCTTTCTGGAATTTGGAGACCACATATCTAAAACAATCTGACATTGAAAAGACTACTAAAGATGCTGTGTGCCTTCAAGATTTGCTTTGCATCTTTCGGCTGTCATAAGTAACGGGGAGAGGAGGAGGGACATGGTTATGGGAAGTGAGCTGGAGGTATTACAAAACAGAACTGTATAAGTTGGGGGGGGGATTCTTGCTTAGGCTCCTATCCTATGCTATGCGCAGCCGCAACTCTTTATCAAAATATGTCAAGGTCAGCGGACAGAGGCCTCATCACCACCTGGAGATGCCCACATGATGATATACACTTTTAATTGGATGAGCCAATTGAACTATTGGGGGGGAACATTGCCATCACTTTGTATATGTGATTTACACGTTCATTTTCTCAGATTCAGAATTCAGAATTGTTGCTATCACTTGATTTCCAGTAAAAGATATCTTTTCTCTAATTAATGGAGTCTAAGTATTTCTTTCTTGGATTTTGAATGGAGCACCATCTGACAGATGCTTATTAGGACCACTGTTATTATTTGTAACAGAATGAAATTAGAACAGAGGCAAGTAAATTTTGATGATATCAATTTTTTTTGGATAAATATGGCCTTTATTTTCAGTGGTTTTGTTTACACGTAGTTATTTCTAGTTTAGTAAACTCATCCATAAAGTCTTAAGCACAGTGTGGGAGGGAGTGACTTGCTTTAAATGAAGATCAAGGGGCTAGAATAATAGCTGGTGAAATATTGCTATGCCCTCTGTAAAAATGATTCAACAGAAAGGACATAAAGAGTATAAAGGGAATGATTTGGGATATGACTTTTGTGCCATTTTTTTTAATGTGCCAACCACAAGGATAAAAATACCAAATCCTTTGTGATAACAAAACGTAACAATAGTCACAGTGTTCTTATTTGTGAGCACATTTCTGAAGTTTTAAAATTCTGTGAACCAGTGTCTGTGAATCAGCTTACTTAGTTCTCAGGTGCTTTGTTCCATCTTCTCCACTGCCAATCAACCATAATTAAATATGTAAATGCCAGTTCCCAGGATGTTATTGCTCTCAGAACTCTAGAAGAGAGTTATGTAGATGGCTCTCCATAGGCCATGTCAATGAAGCAATAGTAGCAATTTGGCACTGAAAACAAGCCATCAACAGACACATTACAAATAAGATTTCTTGTTCTCCTGATTTAATTATAGCATTAAATACTTTAAGAGATATTCAGCAAAATACAAAGCAAAGATTAACCCTTTAGCATCAGCTTTACTGCCAAGGATGTCTCTGGATTTCAATATCTTTTAAAGACATCCTTTTTGGGTGGAAGGTGAAGTGGCAGGTGGCTTTCCAAGTCTATCAAGGAGGGGGGGGAGTCAAAAATAATTGAGAGTGACAGGACTTGCCTTTCCAATGTTCTTTATTACAGTGAAAGGGTGGAAGGAAGCTCCAGGTTTTTGAACTTCCTTCCTAGATCCAAGTCAGTGATGTTATAGTAGCTTCTTTCCAGGCTCATTTGTACCTATTTTATTAATAATGGATACCTTTATTATTTTATTTATTTATTTAGTAAATGTATGTGTTGCCCATCTCACTATCAAGTGACTTACAACATCATAAAAGCAAGTACGAAATGTTATAACATTAAATAATAAATATTAAATGAGTTAAAAACCAAAATGTAATGGGGTAGAAGTTGGAACTTTCTCCTAGTCCATTTATCACCTCCAGCATGGAAATTTGTAAGTCTTACAGGTATGGTGTATGATTGATTCTCGTTATCGGCTGATGGCATACTCCATACTTCACTTTCCTGTCTCCTGTTGTCATACCCTTGGTAGAGTCGGACTCTGAGGGAGAGGAGGAACAGCCGACAGGGAGTGGAGGTGTGGCTCCAGAGGTTGTGGAGGAGGCTGGGGAAGGGCAGAGGCCAGCTGGGCAGTCAGAGGAAGAACCAGGCCCATCCCCTCCGCATCCTAGGACATGCAGGGAAGAACGGAGAAGGCAACAACTTGGCTTATGAGAGAGGAAGCGGCCATGATCCTCCTCATTGGTGGCAGCTGGGGAGACTAGAATATAAGAGAGACAATTACAACACAGTGTTGCCAGAAGCAAAGTGTGTGTTATTTTGGGCTGAAGTTATCTTCGTTGGTGTCCTTCCAACAGACTGTAGCTTGTTATCTCCTTGAATTTGGTAATTATTTATCCTGGTGTGTCATCATTGCAGTTTGTTTGGTTTTTTATTTCACCTCTATCTGCTCATTAAGTTCGGACTGTATTGTTTCTTTTGAAAACTATTTTTGAATATGTTTTATCTCCAACTGAGAATTATTGAACAGTGGGGCCAAATTGGAGGCATTAAAGGGTTTAATTAAATTATTTACGTTTTGGATTTTGTTACATTTGTGTTACACTTTGGGTCATCACACCATTTCTGCAGTGTCTTGTTTTCTTCCATAGAGTTATGTTATTTTTTTTCTCCTTTTGGCCTTGGAAATTCCAAAACTATACAATATTTTTACGTCTGTTGTTTCTGGTCTTCACTCTTGTTGAGTTGGCTTGCTCTTTTTTTCTTTTTTCCTTTTAGTTTTCTTCCAATGGAAATTTACTTCCTATATCACTTCCTATTCTAGCATTTCCCTGCTTTGATAAATCTTTATTCTGCATCCTCTTTTACTTTGGCAGCTGGAGAGATAACAGTGTTCCTAGTGGCTTCTAAATGAACAGCAAACTTTGCAATCCTTGTTAACAGTTTTGTGCTGTCCTGTCATTACACTGTAAAGTTTATGATTTGAAACATCATTGCTCATGTATCAAAGAGCCCATGTTTTCTCCTTGTTCCTGATTGCATTGTGCTCAAAATTTCCATGAAGAAAGTATAAATCAATTGCTTTGCTTTTGCTTTTTGTTATTTCAAGGATCAAAGAATACAAGTGCGATCATTTGAAATATAAGTATAGAAAAAGTTAACTTTTAAGTAAGCACAACTCATTTGTTTTAGTAAAAGCAGAGGAAAAAAAATCTCAACCAGCACAGACATGAGCCAGTAAAAAGGCCATTAATGTGCTTTCCACTGAGAACCTGAAAGCAGCAGAATCATTGCTTGTTCAAGAACCAACATGAAGGCCAGGGAGGAAGCCAAAATTATATTTTTGAATTCTTCCTACTGCAGTTATAATTGGGCTCCCCAAGGTATATCCCATTCTCTCAGAAATTACAATGACCATTTTATATCATGAACAGTCAAGGCAAGTTCGTTTCGATTTTTCAAAAGTGCCATTATGGGCCAGAAAGTCCTATATGGAGAACTTGCCTCCAAAAGAAACCTTTTCTGTCCTGCCAGTGACAATGTTAGGTGGCAAATTACTTCATTCCCAAGTTCTAATGATGCCTCCTGGAGTTCTTTACTAGCCTGCTTGGAAGTGGAGTTCACCAGATTGGCACACTTAACTCCCCTCAGTAGAAGTTCTTGACTGAAAAGGCTGAAAACTGAGAACTGCCTGAGGCACAAAGTATTTGCCTCAGTGCCTGGCTATTGACAATACCTGACCTTGAATAGAGAAGTATAAAAGTACCCAAAATCAAGGTGTGTGTGTGTTGTTATTTTTTAACATTTCCAACAGTGGTCATTCATAGACCTATTGTTTGTTTAATCAGTTTTTTTTAATTGTCCATCTATCTGATAGAGGACTCTGGGTGGTATATAAGTAAAAAAATATAAAAAACATAAAAACAGTGTATACAATTTAAAATTTTAAAAGGCTAGGAAAGGATAAAAATTAATATTAATTAAATGTTGGAGAGGAATTTCAAGGCTGTAACCAGCCCTATGGTTACATGCTCTTCTGCAATCTTCAAGCAAGGCCATAGAACTACATTTTTAGTGAGGCCCTCATTACCTCTAAGTGAGGTAATTACCTAAGTGAGGTAATAGTGAGGCCCTCATTATACATTTTTACCAAAATAGTGAGGCTCTCATTACCTCTAAGGAGAGAATATTACAGGGCAGAGACTATGTCAGAAAAGATTCTCTTCCTGGACCCAGCCAGTCAGAATTCTTTAGCTGACATGGTCTACAATTGTGCTGTCCCACTCATACACTCACAAACGTAAGTGTGGTTTAGTGGGTTTATTAATATTTCCCCACAATTCTCTTCACCAAACCCCAGAACTGTCCCGGCCACAAGCAGACCAATGCTGGTCCACGAAGCAATGGCCAATGAGTCCACGAGGCACATGAAAGTTTCCCAGTCAAAATAAACTCACCAAGCAAAATTAAATTCACAATACAAGAGAGCTCATGAGGCAAGAAAAGTCCAGAGTTCACAATGCATGATCCAAGTCAAGGCAGTTTCAATCCAAAGCAAGGCAAGAATCACAACAACCAGAAAACACATAGCTAGGAAATGAACATGTTGTTCCAAGCATCGCTTCCCTCTCTCTGCTGTGCTAACTAGCCAGCTTCCGGTGTAGCCCATCAAGAAGGGCAAGGTTTTCTCCTCATGAGTAATCTTGATGACCTTCTTTGATCCTGCCTTTTCTCTGCCCTACCTGTTTTTGGATCAGGTGCAGCAGGCAGCTCCTCTTCCTCATCACTGACTGGCTCCAGCTGCACGCTTTCTCCACCTGAAGCCTCTAGACTGGCTTGCTGCAGCTGTGTTTGAGCCAAATCGGTCTCAGATGGCTGCTTGGAGCCATTAACCAACTCCTCTCCAGACATGTCTGGAACTGGTTCATCTTCTTCCAAGCTGACATCTGGAGAGATGTGAGGAAACACCCAGGGAAGTCATCATAACAATGTACCTTTCCTGCTTGACCAGGTAAAATGAGTTGATGTAGTAGGACAAAAATGGTTCAAGAGGTAACAGAACTGCAAATATTTATTTACTCCAAATATATTTATTTTTGTTAAAAAATGCTCACAATTTCATAAATTTTAAATTTTTATAATTTGGGTAAAAACACATTCATCATTCCCTGCTGCCCAACCCCCACTCCTAGTCATTTTTGTCTCTGTGTCATTGCAAATGTTCCAAAAAACACCCAGATCCAGTTTGATAAAGTTGCTGACCACTTCAAGGGACTGAAAAGAAAATTTGCAGGTCTCTTTGGGAATCTCATTTCTGTCATGGAATTAGTTAATCTCTGATCAGAGACTTAATCCATTTCCAGAGTGTTAGTTTGACTTCAGCTGTCCAAATCTGACAACCCTTAGGGAACTTTGACTAGAATTGTCCTGGAATGAGGGAACCCAGAGCTCCATGTTTCCTCCTAAGTAAGTCATATCTTAGTATCACATTCTTCTGGAACATCACATTCTTCTCTGTATATTTCTTTACTTCAGCTTAGTTATTCATTTTCATAAGACAAGACACTCGAGTATTTCTTTGAAGATTTTTCCTCTCCTGCTTAATGATTGATTCTATAACTACCCTGTGTAGAATACTAAGTTATTGCCAAATTTAATTGTTGAGTTAATGTTGAACATATTTAATTCTCTCAGTTTAGGACTACCCACTCATAATTGGGAAGAAAGTTTCTTGGTGGCATGTCCTTTCTTACTGTAAAAAACATGATATAATCTCAGGCAGGACTCAGTTGAACCTGTACTCTATATAAGGATGTATTTTTGAACTTTAGCCTATGTAAACAAAATTCCACACAGAATTATAAAACATTTAGTTTTCTGTGTTTACATTTCCACTGAAGCTATAAAACAACCTCTGTCATACTAATAATAGTTCACTAGAAGCCCTTATTCTAATGATTAAGATTTAAGGTGCTGCTTAACTCTCTTACAAATCATAAGGACTCTGAAGCCTTAATAAGGTTTCATGAAGCCTTTGCAACAAACAATCTATTGTGCTTTATTCATAAACCATGGTTAAGAAAGCTTTATTTATATTAGCATCCTGCTAGTATTCATATTCCAGATCTAAAACAGTGGTCCACAGACTGTGTCCATATCACTTACAGAGTTGTATCCATTAATAATAGAGTACAATTCAGAGGAAAATTGTAAAAATCCATTTTATTTACAGAACAGAAAAATCTACAGTGCAATAGATTCCAGTCATCAGTGGCTTCATTTCCATATCTTCAGCAAAGTGTGTGTGCACATGTGCCAAATGGTATATTGTAAGATGGGGTGGAGACCCAGGAAAGAGAGACGAAGTTGAGAGAGAATCTTGTAACATGATGTCAGAGAACAGTAGTCTTCACTATCCAAGAAAATGCCATCTATCAACTAAGATTAAAAAAATGATAATTACCAACACTTAACAATTATAAGAAGTTTGGATTATAAGAATTCAAAATCCAAATCAGGGCTATAGCAGGCCTGTCAAACTCCCATCCTGTGGGCCAGATATGTCACATGCTGGCCACGCCCAGTTTAGCAAAGGGGGAAAAAGTCTCGATACATCATGTGCTGCTGCCATGACGATGTGAGTTTGACACTCCTGTTCTATACAGTATACACATGAAAGAGTATGCTCTCATGTTGTTTTGTATATCACTCTAATGAATATTCAAACAACATGTTTTACCACATACAGCTAGTTCTTGTTTAGCAATCACAATTGAGAATGGCAACTCGGTCATTATGCAAAGCAGTCACTAAGTGAAACTTGGACTATGCTTATGATTTTACTTCAGCTTTCCTTTGCTTTACAGATCTGCAATTGTTATAAATGTGAGAATTTATCATCATAATAACTATGAATGGTCATTAAAGGAGGAAGTCACTACATCTGTATTTAAAAATCGCTTTGGATCTGAATGTACATATAGTAGCATAATAAGTCTGTGAGGTATTTTGAATGTGGTATGTAGAAAAACAACCTGTTTTTTATACTTTCTTTGCTTAGTCAAGTAACAGGAAACAAGAACAAATTTGAAAATTATTCTTCTGCCATGTTATTTAACTCCCAAGTTACATACATACATACATACATACATATGGTAGTCAGCTTTGTTTGGGTATTTTCCCACGTCATTATAGTTGTGCTTTTAAAGTTGTAGCGACGTTTTGGCAGAATCTCATCTGCCATCATCAGGCTTCTGTATTGTGTTCGTCTGTGAGTCAGGCTTTCACAGCTGTTTCTGTTTTAAATTTGGAGCTAGCCTACTGCTGTGCCAGAATGGTTTTTTCTTCATCCTGATTGGTTGGGAGTCTTGGTCTGTGTTTATTGATCTTGGAGTTTGCTGTGTTCTGCTTGATTGGTGTTTCTAATATCTTCTGTCTGTTTTGTGGCTTTTTTTGTCTTGATTGGCTGGCAACATTGTGTGTCCTGTATTGGAGGCTTTTAGTGCAGCTTGGCTTCGAGTAAACGGACGGCTATAATTTATTAGGAAGCTAGGTTTCATCTGGGTGCCTGGGTGCGGTGTGTTTGAGCTGGAGGTATCAGGGGGGATCTGTTTGTGCCCAGGTGTTTGCCTGGCTTGTGGTGTGGAGATTTTTTTGTTTGTGAGTGCAGGCTTCCAAATAATTGACAGTCTGGTGGAATCATCTCTTCTATTCATGCTTTCAGGTCTTTTTTCAATCTCTATGGCTTCTCTGATAATTCTGTGGCTGGGGTTTTCTATAGTGGCTAGGATTTTGATGCCATTGAAGTCTATGCTATGACCTGTGGCTTTCATGTGTTGGACTAGTGAGGAAGAGTGTTCCAGCTTTTTTACTGCATTTTTGTGTTCATCCAGGTGGGTACTTATTCTTCTATTGGTCGGTCCAATGTATGTGGCAGGGCACAATGCACAGGGGCCATCATTCTGCTAAACAACTAATTCCCACAATACTGTCAACTTATTTACTAAGAGTGTATTACTATTATTCCTCTTATCCTTCCTAGTACCTATTTCTTCCCACTTATGACTATAACTGTGTTGCTTGTATCTTTACAATTTATATTGTTTTATTTGTTTCCTAGTATGATTCGATTGCTTATTAGTAACCTATGTCTGTCACTGTTGTATCCTATGATTCTTAATGAATATAGTTTTTTTTCCTTTATGTACACTGATAGCATATGTACCAAAGACAAATTCCGTGTGCGTCCAATCACACTTGGCAATAAAGAATTCTATTCTATTCTATTCTATTCTATTCTATTCTATTCTATTCTAATCTAATCTAATCTAATCTAAAACTCAATATGAATTGTAAGTACTAGTTAGGACACATTTAAATAATCTGAAAATAGTTCTCACCTTCTCTGGAAATAGAAGGCTCTTCCACAAGTGCTGGAGCCTACAGAAAAGAAATAAATTATTTTGTAAAATGCAACGTGTTGTACAAAAGACAAAAAGAAAGGCAATACTATAAAGGCAATACTATAAAATTTGATATAGCTTATACTCTAAAATCTGCAGATTAAAATTCAGTACAGAAAAGAGAAAAAAGTTAGGAAGATAAAAATACAGGAAAGTATCATAATCAATTTATTTATATGTAGTTGGCTTTAATCACAGAGGAACTAAGTGCTTCTGTTAGACTTTGCAAATAATAATTTCAGGATGGACCTGAAACATAGCCTCATAAAAGTAATCTAGCGAGAGGAAACTTCGGTCCTTCTGGGATTTAAATTCTTGTGTTGTTGTTGTTGTGGCTTATTTCTTTAAATAGTCTTCTTTGAATGATATTAAAATCTGCTTCCTTTGAAGCTTCATCTCACTTTTGACATTAGTTTAACATAATTAGTACAAAAGCCGATCTGTGCAGTAAAACAAACACCAGCTGTATGTGTTTTGGATCCTGAATGTGTGGTTTGCAGTTTCAAGTACTGGGTGGGCTCCTAAAATTGAACACTAATAATTCTTCAAAAAGTTAGAAAATTAGCCCTGAAAACAGAATGAGTTTAGGCCATTTCAGGAACCATTTTTAAATGGTCGCTCTTGTGAAAAAGGCAAATGGAAAATAGCTCATCAAAAAAACTATTTTTTACTTTTATATATAAAAGTTCAGGTCACATTTCCTCCATTTGCACAGCTGAAATGTCTGTGTGTATTAAATGGATGTTTTAGTTCATTAATCGTTAAAAGGCAGTTTTTCAAAACAGCTGGGAATGTTTTTGAAAAATACTTAACTTTACTGATGCAAAATAACTTATAATATAAACAGATCACCATTTGTAGTTTTGGTTGTGTATGTGTGGGAATGTATTAGAATATAAGCAGGCATGTGTAATTTTAGTTCTTGTTTTACTTTTAAAGATGACAATGAATCTAATATTGTTGAACACTGGTTGATACAAATGGGAAAATGTGTTTTATATTGCACAAAAAAAGATTGTTAATGCTTATTACATATTCCTCTCTGCTTCCGTCTTTTCCATACTGACCTCAGCCTCCAAGATCATGAGAAACCTGCATCTGCTATTTAATTTCCAAGCTAGCATTTTGGATTAAAACAGCATTAACTCTCAATTGCCTGTGCTTCCCATTCAATGACCAATATTGAAAAGTGGACTGGAAAGAAAAAAAATGTATAAATTCCCTTACATTTTGCACAATAGATTGGATGTCTTCTTCGTTGCAGCAATAAGGGCTAGTGCCCACCAGAAGGTTGGTGCTGAAAAGAGAAAACAATTATTGAGACTTGAAGAGTGGGGAAAACAGCTGTTATTTAGAGCGCAAATAAGGAAAGAACAAAATAAGCTGTGCTCTACAAGTGCAGAACAGTAAATGCTGTCCAGGATTTGAGATATTTTGTCCACTCTAATGTGGAAAGTTTATAGATTAAACTGGATATCTCTGCGCATACTTTGTGGTTTACATAGTCTCTTATTAAAAACCAAGTAGAAGATCAAACCAGAACTTGATTTTCAAGTGAGAAATTGCACAAGCTCAAATGTGGGCAGCTTGAAGTATTTCAGATATTTTGGCTAAAGCCCAAGACCACGGCTGGTTGGAGCCAATGAGATTTCCAACCAAAACATCTAACCAAGATTAGGGTTTCAATTTGTGTACCCTGTACTGCATCAAGCCCAAGGCAAGAGGCAACTCTGCTCTGAAATGGCATATGAACTAACACCCTGTTGCCACTGCCACAAACCACAATATTTTCTGATGTACACATACTGCGCTTGCACATTTCAAAATCTCATCTGTCCTGCCCTTTTCCTCCCCAGATCCTCATCTTCTATTTGAAAAATCATAAATAGGAAGATTTCGCTTTCTTCCAATGGTTCTGAATTGAGCCAAAGTCCAAACAACAATTCTATGCATGCTATTCAAGAGTAAATATTATAAAATTTAACATAGTGCACCTGTGGACAGAAAGAGAGGTCCATTTATTTTAAATCTAAAAGTTCTTTGGGCATGTGTGAGAAACCAGCTTGCTATAAAGCACAAGCTGAGGATACCCTTATGTATTATTTTGTCACCTCCAAGTGCTACATTAGAGGTCTGATCACTGCAAGGACAGCCTGTACCCTCTTTTCTTCAACAAGCCTACATCCTCTCCCATCCATAGCACAGTGGTTCTCAACTTGTGGCCGACAGACCCGGCGGGGGGGGGGGGCATGATGTCATCAAAGGAGATCCACGAAGACTTGAAGAAATGTCATGATTTAAATTTTGAGTTAATTCATGGAGGTCTGTGGCCAAAGGTATTTAAAGGGAGTCCATGGTGAAGAAAAGGTTGAGAACCACTGTCATAGCACAATATATCCTGCTGCTGCCATCAATCTTCCTGCTGACCCTCCCAATTCCCCATCTTCCCATAAACATCAGTTAAACTTTCATCCTGATTAACTTTGTCTGTTATTCTGGACAGATCTTTAGATTCACTGGTCTGTGACACCTAAAGACCATTAAATGAAGGTCCAAATGTGTAACTGATTTCAATTAGATTTATTGCCGAGTAAGTATATAGACAGCAGTTTAAAGTGCAGTCATACACGTTACCTACTTTGATCAATAATCATATGCTGGGACTAAGTTTCCCTGAATGAATATCATGCTGAGCTCTGGCCTCCAATTCTTGAAAGATCTTCAAATCAAGAATAACCCTTCTTAGCTAATGTAGCATTTTTATCATCTCTCTTTATCTTCTCCCCTTCCTCCATTACACAGATCTTTATAGCCTTCCTGACTACTTGTACTCTCCAAGCTGAAAATGTTTATCCCTAAGGCTCTCTTCTTGATATTTTAATTGAAGCATTGCAATTACTACCATAGTCCAATGAGAACAAGCCATTCCTAAATACTTTGGTCATGAGGCAGCTGAAAGGAAAAAGGGAAATAATGTGCCTTTTTCTCTTGGAGACATATGCAGGACAGGCTATTCCCTTTTCTCTAACCTTTAAAGGTGACCTGAGTCACATCCATGATTTCTTATTACCTCATCTCGAATAATGAACACTAACAAAAACCCCAAGTCTTTTTCTAGAAAATTTAACGTTATCTTCAATTTCTGTGAGAAAACTCTTAATCAAATAATAGGAATCCAATCCTTTTGGGAATGGCCTACTTACCAAGTAATCAGGGCTCATGTGGAAAGAACAAAAAAAATCAACCGCCCCCAAAGGTGGTATTTTTTTATGACAAAGAAGCAACTATCATTATAAAAGCCAGTCAATTCAATTTAGTATTTCAGCTAGTCCTGATTGAACACCCACTTGTTCATTGGCCATGCAAAGTTACAGCGAATAAGTCTTATGAATGGTCCTTGTATTTGTGGCCCTCATAGCATCCTGTGATCACTTGATTCTGATCTGGGCACTTGACAGATGGTCATAGTGCCCCATGGACATGTGACTGCTGTTTGAAACCTTCACTGCAGAGAAGCAAAGTCAATGAGGAAACCAGCAGAAGATCACAAATGTTGATAATATAATGTTGTGGCTTGATTGCACAGGATTTGCTTAGTGAACCCAACCATAACTGCCACAATTGCCATGGTACATTGGAATGGTCTTGTAACATTGTGCTTTATGACCGCATCACTTAGTAATGACATTACCTTAATTAGGTGAGGACTGTCTGTAATTCAAATTGGATTTTGACCAAAGAACGATAGATGCATACCATTTTATGGCTCCTCCATCAGCCTTTTTGTGAACCAAAGCTTTCCAGGATTCATGGGTGGACTTGATTATTTCCAAAGCAAATGCCTATTCAAAACAACATTGAGAGGAGGAGAAAAGACAGAAAAAATGTTGGCTAGATATTATAATTGCCAAAAATGTAAAAAAAAAACTTTAGGAACACTCAAGATAAAGATTAAATCTGAAACTTGAAATTTTGTTTAAGCATTCCTGGGTTTTTTATGTTAATACCTACTTGACCTTCAAACTTAAATGCTTTCAGATATCAGTAACTGGCATTTCCCACCATTATGAGATAGAAAAGGGGGGGGGTGGAGAAAATTTCAATAAATACAGTGTGCATCCCATTAGAACATATTTAGATGGTTTATGTAAATCACTGGGGGCTACACGTTATCTGGGAAAAAGTAATTCTGCTTAGCTTTTCCAGACTTGAAAAACTGCTTTTGGAAAAAACTGCTGAAATAAAAAACTCATGAATTATGTTCTTGTTTTGGCTGTGTTTAAAGCAAAGCTGCTCAGCATATGCTGAAGTTAAAAATATCAGCTCTTTGGCTGATATCTTGGAAAACATCTAAATAAGGTCACAGAAGAACCAGATCTTGACTGGAGCCAGAAGGGTTTTTTTCCCCCAAGGGATTCAGGATAAGGGATAGTTGGAAACAGCAATAGCAGTTAGACTTATACACCATTCTATAATGCTTTACAGCCCACTGTGTGGTTTATAAATGTTTGCATTTACCAACTTTGGAAGGATGGAAGGCTGAGTCAATTTTGAGCTGGTCAGGATTGAACTCCTGGCTATGGGCAGATTTAGACTGCAATATAGCATTCTAGTAAGGACACAGTGGCTCAGTGGCTAAGATGCTGAGCTTGTCGATCAGAAAGGTCGGTGGTTCAAATCCCTAGCACCGCAAAAGCTCCTGTTACTGTCCCAGCTTCTGCCAACCTAGCAGTTCAAAAGCACGTAAAAATGCAAGTAGAAAAATAGGGACCACTTTGGTGGGAAAATAACAGCGTTCTGTGTGCCTTTGGCATTTAGTCATGCTGGCCACATGACCACAGAGACATCTTCAGATAGCGCTGGCTCTTCAGCTTTGTAACAGAGATGAGCACCGCCCACCTAGTGCCGGAAACGATTAGCACATATGTACGAGGGGAACCTTTACCGTGACCTTTTATAGCATTCTAATCAGTACACCACCACGGTCAAGAACACAGGTAATCATAAAGGACAAACTTTCAAGGAAAGTCACAGAAGATATCTTACCAAGTGAGTTTGTGGGTAGGGAGAACTCTGGTCTCCAGGAATTACCTGAAGACCAAAGTTCTCCCTACCTCCAAACTCACTTGTATTGAAATTGCACTGTAAACTGGACATCACCAGATTTTCCTTGGGCACTGTTAGAAAATTATTGCATCTGGGAGAGCTATGTTATTCCTCATTGTTTCCAGAATATTCTTTTTAATGCAGAAGCTAAAATTCTTATCTCTCAACCAGCCAATATCTGAAGATGTTTCTTCATGAGTTGATTTTGGCCTTTAAAAAAATCTTTTTGGAGTCTTTCAAAAAGAGAATGGAAGATTTTAACTTCTGAAGGTCTTGTATTCAATATTATTGGGGGGAGGGGGGGAGTAAAAAAAAATAGCACTGCTGAAATAGGATCATTTTATCACTGAATATGCCCCAGTGAGACCTCAGATGCTACAAGGATTGCATTCATTCAGATTACAAGTTGCCCATCCCTGTTGTAATAAAGTTGAAGATTCTTTACAGAAGACTAATTTCATATTTGATAGGACTATCAGAGCTTTAAAAAAAATCTAGACGAAGAAAACATGTGAGATATTTTGATAAAAGAACAGCTTTGTTTGTCCCTTCATGATATTTTGAAGTGAAGGAAAATAGTTACTATGAAATGTTTTGCAGTATTGGCTTCCTTACATATTCATGATTGGGATTCTGTAGGATTTTACAGAGTATTAATTCAGAAAATACAGTTTTCATAAAGTAAGTTTATCATCCTCAAGTAAGCAATTTTTCACCTTGTCTTTAAATGTGTCATTAAAAGCAAACTTATTTTCTGGCTTCCCATCTGGAACTTTATATAGTCTGCACCAGTCAACAGTAGCTTCCAGGTAACCTGGGAAAAACTTCCTGACATCATCAATATCTGCAACAGGTTAAAAATGCATTAAAAAAGTTAAATAACAGTTTATTCCAAATCCACCATTCTAAATATACATGTACAAGATTCTAATAGAGCAATAAATCTGTCATAAATATTTCAGTGAGTGAGCTCAAGAAAACCCAAGTGCTTGAGTTACAGATTTAATCCTCTGCTTACAGAGCAGAAATATCATACAAAAATTTTGAATATAATTCGATAATTGTTGAATGCATTTAGCTTATACTGGATTATAAAAACAATCACATAGACTCTTATACAAACTGAAGTTAGACTGGATGAAGCAGACTAGAAAATTTGATAACCTGGCAAATTAAGCACCTTGTAATGCAATTTTTTTCTTAAAAAGCTCAGTGTTTTAAAATTATGATTGGAGACACAGCCACTTATTTTTGTCTCCATGACAAGGGATTTAAGAAGCTCCAGAGCAGCTAAAACAACTAAAAATCATATGTTCTGAAGCATAGAATGCAACAACCTTTTGTTCAGCCACAGTCTGTGGAACAGGCTGAGTGTATTAAGCAATAACATCACAATAGTTCATAAAACACACTGAGCTTAAGTATACTTTAGTATGTTAATCCAATTAATGATATAGATTTAGATCAGTAAAGCATCTCTCCAAACAAAGGAATGAACACTAATCTGCCCTATGCATTCTATATAATTCAAGAAATCACCACATCGGTATACACCGACTGAAAGCTTTGCTTGTTTTCAAGCTCCCAAGAACCTCTGCAAAAGTTGCCTTCAAACCAAGTGCATATATGATGGGGATTAAATCATTAAAGTCACAGGTAATCATTATTTCAAGTTAAAATTAGAGGTTGTCATCATACCCACTTCCTTATCCTACTTTTTGGCATACAATCATTTACTTAAGCCTAAAGACCATGTGCAGCCATCAACCCTTCCAAAGGGTGTCTCTTCCCTATAGGACAGAGGTATCCAAACTTGGCAACTTTAAGACTTGTGGACTTCAACTCCCAGAATTCCTC